GGCAGGGTCATATCCTGATGCACAGACAAGCAGCAACATTTCCCGCAGGAAAAGGTGGCTCTTCTGGTGGGGTGTGGGCGTAGGAGCAGTTGCAGAAACAAAAGGCATGCATGCTTCTTTCCTTTTTTAATATAGTTCTTCCCCAAAGCAGGACTAGCCCATTTTTATCGCACTGCCAGCACTATTAAAGCCAGTTGTTTTGTTCTTTTTTCCCCCAGGTCGGGCAAGGGTGTGGACAGGAGGAAACAACCTTTTTTTTTTAATGACAGGTTTTCATGGGAAGATGTTCAGCTGTCTTGTGAGTGCTCAGCTTGGCTCTGCCCAGGTTTAACCAGGAGAGCTGAACACAACCCAGTGCTAACTCCATCTCCTTCCTCTGCTCACATCTTTCCCCTGGCCAAATCACTGCAGCTTGCAGGCAACCAGCAGCTGTAATGCAAAGCTGACAAACCAGTCCAGGCTCTGCTCCCACCCCCGACCAGCAGCAGCAGCTGCCTCCGAGGTGGGGAGACCCTTGCACAGGGACTGGCCAACCTTACCTGTACCAGCTGGAGGGGATGATGCCACCCAAATTGTCCATCACCAGGGCAGACACTGAGCAGCAGGGTGGGGAGATGGCAAGAGGGATGCAGCTGCAGGGTGGGATGGAGTGGCAGCAGAAGAGGGTCTTCAGCCAGGCTGGCTGCTTGCAGGGCTTTTTGCTAGGTCTCCAAGGCTCATCAAAGCTGCTGTATTTTGGGCTGTCAGTCTAGCTCCTGGGAAATAAAGGGGACATACAAAAGGTCCAAATACATCATATTTTATAAGCTTATCATGACCCAGCTTGGAATCAATAGGGATTAGTCATCATCCAGTGGAGCTGCTGGAGACTGACTTGACCACATGGCCCTAAACCTCCACAGCAATATTGGTGAGGTTCAGCTGCTTAAAATTAATGCCTCAAAAAGTCTCACAGGCTAATGCCTATGGACATGCCCAGATTTTATTAAACTCTGTAGCCACTGGACATAAAGAGCTTTAGGTATTTCAGCCTTGACTGTGGATTCAGGAGTTTGTAAATACCCACAAGTCTTATTTTCAGGTGAGGTTTCAGGAGTGAGCTTTTGGCTGGAGGGAAACTTCCAGCAGCCACTTGTGGTAAGGCATTTACAGCCCAAAGGGGGTCAGCCTCAGACTTTCTGCTGGCCTCCATTGGTAGTTCTTTGCTTGTACAAGGTGTTTTCCATGCTCCTACCCTCTGCACAAGGCATCGGGTGCCTTGTTGGGCTACTGTGGCCCCTGCTAGCCGCTGCTCCCCATGCCTCGGTGCCCTCACTGCCACCAGCTCTGCATGCTCTGCTGCCGCATCCCTGACTGCAAAGGGCAATTATTCATCTTCTCCTTAATGAAGGCATCCATTTCATCTGTATTTTTTCCTGAAACATTACTGACTCCCTATTGCTGAAGGCATGCCAGTGGCACAGACCGGGCTCCTCCAGCCCCCCTGCAACCCCTAGCAGCAACCTTGTGCAAGTGGCAACCAAACTTGGCTCAGCCCCACTCAAATGTCAAAACAAAAACAAAGCTCCCCTGGCACTGAGTAACACCGTGCAGGGCTTCCCTTCGGAGCAACAGCCGCATCCAGGCGCGCATGTACACGCAGGCACACACACACCCCAAGCCACTTCAGCTGTTGTTTTAAATACTTTTTAATTCTGTTACGTTTCTTTTATGAGTTGTTTTCTTTTTTTTCTCATTGAATGTCATAAATCAACCCTGCTAATCCCACCCTGCATATATTATTAGTATTAGGAGGGGCATGGCAGAATTAACAAGGAACTAAGACATGGTTCAAGCATCTCCATCTCCAAACCGCTCCCATTGCCAGTGATAGAACTGGGGCACATGTAACACATGGCCAACATGTAAGTAGATTGTGGTTCCCTTTGGTGGCCAAGCCTTGGCTAGAGGAGCTCAGAGGTGGCCCGGGAGCCATGAAGCTTGCTCTGAAATGCACATCAGCTTTATTCTTAGTGGCGTGACTTTGGGCACTGCCTCCTTGGGGAGCTGCTTCATGCAGGGGCTTTGGGAAGCAGCAATTACCAGACTGGCAGGGCAAGAGGGGAATAACCAACATGAGCCAATGTAGCAGGAAGCAAAAATGTTAGTGCACCAGGTTGTCCCTGGGGTGTATTTGACCAAGGAGGAGTGTATACATTTCGTTTTTGATGTTAGCTTTCTTTTTCCAGGGATGCGGGTGCGCTGTGGGCAGTCTGGATGTAACCCAGACAGCTCTGGCAGATGCCAGGCCCTTACATCAAATCTGAGAGTTAAAATTCATTTCTCAGAGGCCAAGCCACCTTCGTGGCAACCCATCCCACTTGGGTACAAAAGAGACCCAAAAGCCTACATTGTATTTTGGGGCATGTCCCAAAGAGCTCTGTAACTTGCTCCTGCGAGGCTACAGTGTGCCAATAAACTTGGCAACCACCTCTGTTGTTGCAGCAGAAATATAAATCCACTTCTGAGCTAGACTTTGCCATAGCAGAGCACTGGAAAAACAAACAGGAGAAGTGCCTTTGACTCACTGCATTCCTGTTTCCTGGCTTCAGCCTGGCACGGAACGCAGGCAGGTCTCGGCGCCAGAGCAGCACGGTGAGCGGCACGGCCCAGGCAGCCTGGAGTCTTTCCCCTTCTTGGGGATCTGGGGTTCGTGTTTGCGATGTTGCATCCTTCTGAGGCTGCTCCGCTATTCTCCACCAAAGCTGTTGTTTCACCAGGAGCCAGCCAGCACCCTGCTTTGCTCCCCAGCCTGCTGCATACCCCAGCATCGCACAAGGGCTGCGACACCCTCCTCCTGCTCTCCAAATTGCCTGAAGTGTGCCAATGGTACATAAGTTATTAGGCGGCTGGATGCAGAGCAAAGGAGATAGACAGGCAGGGAAATGCACACACACACCTTTGCTTAATCCTGTCCACACCAGTGTCTCCGACACTCCTCCAGCATGGGGGATGTGTGCGTGTGCTCTAGGGACTGGGGCAGGAAACCCCAAAGGGAGAGGCACCATCGTGAGACAAACCACATACCCCCCAGTCTCCCCTTCTAATATTTGGTGAAAGAAAGACAAAGACAGGCCCAGATGTTGTGTTTAGTTTATTTCCCCTGGATTTAGACACAGCTCTGGCTAACCACCACAGCAGCAAACAAACTACAACCAGCACCAGCCCCTCTGCCTCCCTGCAGGAGGACCAGCTGGTGGGATCCCTGCAGCCCCCAGGAGGGCAGGGGCTGTGCTGAGCTGCTTGGAGGGGGCAGCTCTGCAGGATGCACTGGGGCAGATGGGTTTGTCATGGAGGTGGCAGCACAAACTCATGCTGAAGGTGCAGTATGTAGGAGTCAAGCCTTGGATGCAACAGAGTGGTGCAGATGGGGGACAACACACCTGCGTTTCACTTCTCCAGCTGCCTTCCCCTTCTTCCCTCCAGCTTTTCCTCTGGCTATTTTAAAAAAGAGGGGTTATACATTTACAGGGGAGGCATTTAAGCAGGGAAGGGTCTCTGCAGGGCCTTTATCTTGCCCAGGACCACCTTTTGAGGAGGTCTCTACAGAAGGACCATCCTTGTCTATGGCCTTTGCAGCCAGTGACTGGATGAGAAGAGGGTGCTGCTGAGCCTGGAAGATTTGAGTAGGCACAAGCTGCATGAACAAAGAGAAAAGACAATTCACTATTGCAGATTTTAAGTTTTGGGAATGCCAAAGCTGGCAGAAGGGAGCAGAAAAGGATTGAGAAAGTGCCAATGCAGCAGGGAGCTGAGCAAAGCTGCTCAGGGATGTGAACACCAGCCAAGATCCCTGCAGTGCTTTCTGCAGAGACAGCAGCCTTGCAGTAAATTCAGCAGTAAAGATTACTGCAACCTGCCTTTTAGGAACTACTTTCTAGCAGCAGAAGCAGCTGTTGGGTCAAAATAAAAGCTGTTCCTATGTCTGGGATGTGGGCAATTCTTTGACTTCAGTGCTCATTCTGCTTGAGGTAGGGTCTGCTCTGGTCCCATGCACAGGAGTTAATTTGAAGGTGGTAGAGGGATGATTTACAACAGTAGTAGTAAATCTCTTGTGATAAGCAACATGTGCTTTCAATGCAACACCCTCAGACTGGGTCAGACATACTCCTGAGCAAATAGCTGCTACCACACCATGCTTCTACGCTGTCAGGATGGGAGGATGCAGCCAGGACATCTGGAGTACAAAGCTGCACCGTGATCATCCAGCAATATGGCACTGTAACATCCCTGAGCCTTTCAGCTGCTTTCCAACATGGACCTGAAAATGATGACTTTTAACCTTGGGTTTTACCAGCAGCAGCACTGGGCTGGAAGCTCAAAGGATGCAGTGTGAAGCAGTTTCTTTCATGCATCCCAGGCCATTAGCAAGAGCAGGGACTGAACATGAGTGACAGACCCTATTTCACCAGAGTCAGCTGCAAATCAAACTCCTTCTTGCCTGTGCACAGCTCATGCCCCTGCCCAGCAGGTGATTTCTGGAAGCTCTACTCAGAATTAATACCCAAACACCAGCTTTGCATGGCTACAGAGAGATATGCATTTTGCTAGGACCCGAGTTTTGCTTTGTTTTTTCCCTAAAAAGCATATTTCAAATGGTGAAGGGGTCTGAGATGGAAATAACTGACTTGTGCTCCAGTGTCCCCCAGGGCAGCACTGCCGGGTCTTCCCCCAGCACTGAGCAGGGGCAGGAAGACTGGTCCATTATCACACCTGAGACATTCCTCTAGCAGAGGCTAAAGAGAAGCAGCTATTTCTGGCAGAGGAAGAAAAAAAGGGGTCTCCAAGGGGGGTTACAGTGGGCCTGAATAAGTCCTGAGAAGTTGTAGGGAAGGACAGGGAATCCCAGAGGCAGAGTCAGTCCCAGCAGGAGATGCTGGCACAGAGATGAGGGGTCCCAGCAAGAGCTGTGCTAAACACAGAAGAGGCACTCCTGAAACTCCACAATCATATTAACCTGTTAATTTATACAGTGGCTCTGTACAAAAATAGAAGGGTTCTAATAAGATTAACAATATTAAATAAATATTTAATAGAAAAAGTCTTTGGCCTAGTTCATAGCTCATCCTTTGGGTTGATATTCATTTCACTGGGTCCTAGATGCTCCTGGTCCAACATCGCAATCACTTCATCTGCCTGGATTCGCTCCTGCAAGAGGGGAAGGGAAGAAACTGTAACAGTGGAGCTTCGGCACCTGCTCTCAGCTTATTCAGCATGGCTCAGCCTGCTGGGAGGACCCCCAGCAAGCAGTTCATCCAAGGACCAGCAGCATAGCTGAGAGGACAGGGGACAGCCTGAGACTTGTGCTGGGGATGTGCTGGGCAAAATTAATCAAATCACTTTGCACCTCAATACCTAATTCCCTCCTCCCTCCTGGAGCTGCAATGCTTGGGGCAGAGCTGATGTATTGCTGTTCCCTCATCACACTTCACTAGCAGTCACCGCCACAGCGCACCCTCCTCCTGTCCCCTCCAGTTGACATGGATTTCCAGGTCCCTGCGCAGGACTGATCTCCTTCCACATATACACCAAGCATGGAAGAATTTCAGCTAGTGCCAAAAAGCAGAGAGACAGTAAAGTGCATGTCTGAAAATAAGCTTCTCTCAAAACCTTGCAGCCCACTTGCTTCACAAGGGAAAGGCATGAGGGTTTTGCTCTCTCCCTGCATTTAATTTTGCTTGGTCTTTCAGGTTTTGTTCTTATAGGCCAGAATTGCTACCAAAGGGAGACAGGGGCTGGTACAGAAAGCTTTTAAAACAGAATTTGGAGATTGCCTGTTGAAAGGCACCACAGCCCAGATCTCCCAAGGCATCCGGGTGCCCAGGCCCATGTATTTCAGGCTGACAAACCACCTTTGAGGACCTGGCAGCAGCAGCACAGCACTCTGGCCTCTGAGCTGTGGATGGCTGTGGAGGACTTCCCCGTTCCTCAAGTTATTGCCACTAGGTGTCAGAAATGGCCAGTCCAGCCCTGTGCAGAGCCCTCCCGCACCCTGCTCAGCACCCCAGCCCAGCCTTGCACCCCATGGGCCCACGGTGACGGGTGCCCAGGAGCATGACTGGCAGGGAAAAACCATTCGGTCCCAGGGCCACCAGCTCATGTCCCTGTGGTGCAGCAGATGGGAATGCTGCTGTGGGGGGTGTGATGAGGGAAAAATCAATGTGCTGGGACTGGAGGCTGAAGATGGTCCAGGTTCCTCTGGGATGCTGGGTACCCCCCAGCTCGCGCTCACATCACGATGGAAGGACTCACCAGCTCTCTGTAAAGTGGGTCCAAGGTGAACCAGAGAGCCACGGCACACCGCTGGCCTTTGGTAACCGCCTTCACCCCATGGGGGTTCTCACCGCCTGACGAGAAGCTGATCATTCGCCCACACTTGGGCTTGATGGAGGCCTGTGGGAAAATAGGCGACACAAGGGTGGCAAGGAGCAGCATGGCTGCACACACTGGCCATGTCTGGGCTTGTCATGGTCCAGGGCCTGGGATCTTACTGGGCATCTCTGCATCACCCCAGGACCAGTGAGCTGCTCTGGAGGACATGCAGAGCTCTGGGCATAGCTGTAAAAATGTGTGGGGTAAATAGGGAGGTGTGAGGCTTGGTCCTGCTGTGCAGACATCATGCAGAAAGGAGATGGTGGCATGGAGTCCTTGCAAAGCCTGCAGGTGACCACCTACAGCAAAGCAGGGCCACGGCATAACTCCAGTGAGGTTCAGGCTAACCCTGGCATGGGCTGTGAAACACCTCTTTCTCCTCTCTGCTGAGCCCACAACAGGTATCCTGCAGGACCACAGGGGCAGAAGTGTCAACCAAATCAACCCTCTGACACTGGTCTCAGGTAGATGCAATCTACCTTCCAGCATCTACTGGACTTCAGAGCCCCAGCATGGTGCCCTGGGACAGATGCTCTGTCCAACCACAAAGGGGGTGCCCCGCCTCCCAGATGGCCCCATGCACAAGCAGGGGCTTGTGCCGGAGCCTCATCTCTCTCAGGGACTGATGTCCACCACCGTGACCTGCCCTGGGCCAGGCACTGCTTATGTACAGAGGCATCACTTCGTGTTTGGCCACGAGATGGGGTGGGAGCTCAGTGGTCCTCCAGGCTGGGATGACTCTCAGCTGTCCCACAGATCTGCAGGTTTCCTGCTCGGTGCAGCCTCAGGGAAGGGCATAGAAGGTCTGTGCACCTCTGCCAGCAGGATTTTGTATAGCCTCTCTGCAAGGTAGGAGCCACGGATTGCCTGGGAAAGCTCAGGGCACCAGCACAGGTTCCTGAGGAATGGTGTTTGGTTCACAGCACCAACTTACCGTCACAGTTTTGGCATCCATCTCAGTGAAAATGAACTCTCCACCTTCAAAATCCGCGTTCATGTACAGGAGGGCACTGGGGGAGGAAGCAGGAGACCCCTGTGAGGGAAGCAGTAGGGAGGGCTCGGGGCTGACACCCACCTCCAGAGCAGATCCTGCATTGCTCCACCGAGATATGGGTGGGAAGGCTGCCAGGCAGGGGAGGTCCTGCTGTGGGGCTGGTCAGGGCCACCCAAACTGCCCCCATTTTGGAGCCACAGCTGAGAACCAGCAGATCTCTCCTTGGCTAGGGAACAATTCTCAAAATGTCCCCTGGGTCCCACCAGCTCTCACCCTCCCATTCTGCACCAAAAACACCTGACAGAGACACAGCCCTGTAGGCAACAGCTGGGACCTCCCAGCCCTAAACTATCACAGAGCCATTACAGTTCAACTCTGGCTTGAAGCTTAGCCATGATGCTTGCTGCCACCAGTAACTACCTGCTGGATCTCACTTCTGCCATGGCTGGGATGTACCAGCTTTAGGTCTGTGGAGCAGGATGCCCTGCCTCAGTGAGGGTCCCCGGGCACCCTCGGGGGCAGCCCCCTTTTTTTTCCTACCTGTAATCCCGAAAGGTGTAGGCAGGAGGCTCCTTCCAGCACTCGTTGGCCTCCGGGTCCAAGAGGCAGTTGTCAGCATGGATGGGGTGGCTCAGGTCGTTCCTCCTCTCCTGCTGGCCTAGGCAGGACCATGTGGAGGAAGGGGGAAGGAGAAGGGGTGGATGAGATGGAAATGCCAGGCTCTGTGGGGTCCGTCATGGTGGGGAGCCTGCCCCAACCCCACTCCGGGTGGTGTTCACAGGTGAGAGGAGGAAAGGAAAGGCTGGGGAGAAAAGGCAACATCTGAGGACTCAGATCTGCACAGCTCTGCTTGTTCCTTACTGCAGGGAGGCGAGATGAAGAGCTGGGGAGGATGGAAAGGAGAAGGGGCAGTGAGAGGAGGCAAGAGAAGAGGGAGGAGAAAAGAAGAGTTGGACACATGAAAAACAAGAGACACCCCAGAAATGAGCTTCTTTGGGACAGGAGTGTGCTGCTGTGGGGACAGTGACTTTGCCCAGCTCTTGGCCACCAGTTTAAGCATCAGGCAAAACAGAGATACTCTCAGGCTTGGGTCTCCCACTTGTAAACCCTCGTGGGGGGCTGAACCCCTCCTGTCCTCCCAGCCCTGCCCAGCCACTGGCCCCCTGAGCCCTCACCAGAGAGTGCAGTGCGGCACACCAGGTGGGTGTAGGAGAAGTAGAGCGTGGAGTTCAGCATGAAGTAGGACTCGACGATCCTGCGAGCCTTCTCACTGATGTCATAGAAGAGCCGGGCACTCTTCAGCGGGACGCGGCCCTCGTAGCCATACTTGGCAAGGAGAAAGGGTGAGAGAGGGTCAGTGCTGTGTGCTGGCTGGGAGGGAGGGCATGGGAGAGGAGGAGGAGGAGGAAGGAGCTGTACCTTGAGGGCTTTGAGGACAGTGGCTCCTTCAAATCTCTCGTTTGGGGTGTGAGGGGAGGTTTTGCCCCTGTAACCATCTCCAGCCAACATGATCCCCTAAAAGACACGAACACGGGTGAGTGGTGAACTGGTTCCCCAGAAGAGGGTGAGCTGCAATGGAAGCATCTGGGACCCTCCTCCCCAAATCGCCCAGGGCTGCATTCACTGGGACAGGTGAGTTGGGTGGGAAGGCGCTGCAGCTCTCCATGAGCACGGTCCACTCTGAGATGCTGGAAAACAGCCACCCACCTCCCAACTGGGGATGTTCAGGCACCCTCAGTCCCTTCACAGGCTCAGTTGACAGTGAATGAGAAGGCTCAACCAGGCTTGCGGATGAGCATCCTTTGGGGTTGTGTATAACATGGGGCAAAGAGCTATTTCTGCACGGGCTCTGTCTTGCAGCATGTTTCTAAGAATGGCCCAAGATGGAGCAGCAGCTCCTGTGCTGCAGTTATGGGTGTGTTATGGGGATAAGCATCTGACTGCTCTCCACAGGCATCCTGGCATCAGTTGCAACACTCAAGAGTGAGGCATGAACCCAGAGCCTCTCCAGGGGCTGATCCAGCTCTCACAAGCCAGATGCTGGGGAAAGCATCAGGCACTGAGCCCACAGGGCAGTCATGTCGCCCCCAGGACCATTGCCTACTTACACTGGCCACCCTGTGAAGCTCTCGGCACTGCTCCTCCGAGATGACGTTATCCAGTAGTACTCGCTGGGTGCCATTCAGCTGCTGCGAGTTGTACACGAACTTCACGTCGCTGTAGAGAAGCGGACCCCCTGATGGAAAGAGAGACACAAAACGACCTTGCTGAACATGCCCTGGCCTCATTGACATCTTGTACAATGGCTGAAGGCCAGCTGAAGTCACCCAGGTGTGCTGCCAGGGAA